CCGCTTTTTGCTCATTTTATTCCCTCCCCAGCCCCCAGGAGCACTCTGGAAGCCTCCTAAAGGCTACGCAGGCCCTTTTTTTGACAAAAACCAGGGGCGTTTTCATGAAAAATGGGCTGTTTTGGGGAGGTCTGCGGAGTGCAAAAACTATTTTTTTATTTGCCTCTTCAAAATCTTGGTGCAACTTATACTCCATTGCTCTTATACTCTGAAAAATACGGTACGTGGAACTTTGGTTTTCATTAATTGGGGAGAATTATACTTAGATCCTTTAATCAGTATAATCTAGTGTTCTTTTCCTTCACTGTATTGCCACTATTCAAGGTAGACTTTTTTCTATTTCATGACAGTAAGCAAATAAGCAGTATAAATGATATCATCTGCAACATTAATATGCAACTCCCTATCACATCCCAAAATATAACACGGCTAATTGAAATAATTACCGACCTAATATATGCTAATGAGCACTGACCTTGGTAATGTGTGTATTTATCAGACAAATAATATCTAAAGCAACAGACTTCTTTAGGAATTCAGTTGAACATGTGGGAAGCTTTCAATTAAAAACTTAATACTAGTCAGGTCTTGCCAACTGCAGGAAACAGTAGAATTAAGAAATGGAAATGCATCTTGTTTCCTTTTTAAACTACAAATGTCTATACCATGGTGAACATTTTTCCTACCTCATCAATGATGTCTCCATTTTCTGCATGAACTTGGGCAATGGCACCCATTTCGCGAATAAGGCTGAATATTTCATACATCTGCCAGGAAAGAGAGAGGGGGAAAAACAAGTCTTAAAATGTAATAGTTTACATTTCTGTACTACAATGTCATTAAAACTGGTGTGCTTCCATTATCTTTAATTACCTGAGCATCAGTGCATTGCAGTTTGTCTTTGTAGGACATGAAAACAAGGAAAGAGTTCACACCTTAAGAAAAACAAAAGTGAATTATTGATTGCAACTGAAATAAAAACAACAGTTTTTAGGTTACAAAGCTTGGCTACCTATATTCAGATGATAAAAACATAAGACTTTATTTAAAAAAACAATGAAACATAATCAATGCTCGTGGTTATGTTTCTAATCATGAAATTGTTTACTTAGAAGTAAATCCACACTGGCAATTTAATTATTATTGGTACTGCTACAATAGAATTTGTATTTATATAATAGGATAGTATTTATATGTGTGCAAATAATTTCAGCTTTCTTGCAGCAATCATTCCACCAACTGTAACAGGGAAAACAGTATATTTGGGTTTTCCCTGGAAGATGCTCACCGGAAGAGTTTCTAAGAAAATCTGTTAGTTTAGATAATCTGGGTTAAATGATAGCCAAAGTCGACCTCTGAATTCCATAACCAAATCAACCAAAGCAGATTTTCTTCACCCAACTTCAGAACTGGCCTTCAGCATTCCAGCAGCAACATAACCACTTACGCATCGTCATGTTTTCTGAAGAAGCTTCACTCAGAAAAATGGCTTATTTTTTAAAAAAAATATTATTGGCCAAATGTTATAAAAAACAAGCATTCAAGTTACAATCTGGTGGTACTCTGATAAGAGTTTAGGACATCCCAAAATACATCATATTCCTTTCTTCAACCTTATGGGGGGAAATCTGATACAAGCTACCAGGGGTGAAATGCTCTCAAGTCTGCTACCGGTTCACTTAGCGCACAAGCGCACCGCAGGTGCTAAGAAGCATTATCTGAGTCTACGAAGGTTAGTAGAACAGCCTCAGGGGGAAACAGCTGTGCCGTGTGATTTAGATTCACTAGAAAGCAGGATTTCCTGCTTTCTATTGAATATAAATCACACAGCACAGCTGATTGTCACACAGCTGATCATTGGAACTTTAAAAAAAAAACTTTTAAAAAGCATTTTAACTACCAGTTCAGGTGAACCAGTAATTAAAAGAATGCTTTAAAAAGTTTTTTAAAAAGTTCTGACAATCAGCTGTGTGACAATCAGCTGTGCTGTGTGATTTATATTCGAT